TCTTCCAAAAAAATATGACAACCTATTGCCATGTGTGGCAGTATTTTTCAAGCGTGACAACAATTACTCATAATTAGACAACAAAAACATATTGCTCCTATTTTGAAAACCGTTGTACTCTTAATTGGGGCCATTTCATAAAGTTCTGCAACTTTTTTGCGCAAAATACAACTCGTTCCATGCTAATATTTTACTCTTTGTAGCCATTTAGGTAATCAAGAGTGAAAACAAGATCATTTCACTTTTTATTTTTATTTATTGGTCGGCTCCCTTTCAAGTAGGGGTGATCTGGTCCAATTTCACGGCTGCTCTTGTTTCAAGGTCAGCCTAGCTCCTTTGGAATAAGTGTAGCACTTGAGATTAATTTAAATGAATTAATAGTATTACTCATACCAACAAGATGCATCTTCTTTTAAGGGAGCTCATCACCAAGAACTCCAAAATTAAGCGTGCTTGCACGGGAGTAGTCCTGGGATGGGTGACTTCCTGAGAAGTTTCTTAGGGCGCGCTCGAGTGAGGACAATGTGCGCGGAAAAGGCTAGTGGCGGTTTGTGAGGACAGTACTAGAGGTCTGGATGGTGTGTGGAGTATCTACCTTGGGTCTTGCGGGGTCGGGGTGTTACAATAAGGGGGTGTTTGGATCTGATTCTTTGAAGGAGCAGAAGCAGAAGTTGGAGTATTTGAGCTGAAAGTGCAGAAGTGATTCTGGTGCTCCAATTTACTCCTAGAATAAGTTTTTTTAGAAGTTGGGGGAGACCAGCTTCTGAAAACTAATTCTGATTCTGCTTTTGTTTTAAAAAAGAAGTAGAGGCAAAATCCGTTCCAAACACCCCCTAAAACTATGAATTGGCAAGAAGAAATGGTTGAAATAATACTATGCCCTTTTAAGTTGACAAAAACGGGACCATGTTTCAATTAGGACAAAAATGAGAACCAATAATACTGAATGTACAATAATACCCCTTATCTTTTCGGCCTCTTCGCCCCCTTCATTGCCCCAATCACAGAACTCTCATCTCCACGCCGCCGCCGTCTTAATGTTATCGCCACATCCACACCGCTTTCGACATCCCACGCGACAATCGTTGGTGCTCTTTTTTTCTTTCTCGTCTTCTCATCCTCTCTAATTATCTCCCGACATAGCGATGGCAACGATCTGGCAATGGAGGCGACATGGTGATGGCAGCGACCTGGCGATGGACCCGACATCTAGGGCTTCACATTTGGACTCCAATTCGGCAGATCTAGGGTTTCACAGTCACGATCGGTAGGGCAATGACGAGATGTTGGCTATCGGTAACCGCACGTGGCGGCTATGGCTACGGTAACGGCTGGTCGGAGCTTTGGTTGAAGAGGGGTGGAAGCTAGGTTTACAGTGGCGGTGGTTGGGGTTAGGATGCGGCTGGGTTGAGTTAGTAGGACCCGAATTTGGGGAGGGGCAGGGGGCAGTACAAGGGGTGGGGGGGGACAGAGACGGGGTCTGGGGCGTGTGGTGGTGGTAGTAGGCCATCAGTGGGCTGGCAACGTTGTGGCGGTGGGTGGTAGTATCATTGTAGATTTGTTTGAAAATGAGGTTGTTGAACGAATGTGACTGTAACTGTAATTGATTCGGTCTAGCAATTGTAATTAACTGAATCATATAACTACAACTAGTCGGGTTGGGTAATTATAACTGGTCAGGTAAGTATGACTGGTCGGATTGGATAACTGCAACTGATTAGATCGGGTAACTTTAACTGATTGAGTTAGTTAATTGTAATTGGGCAAGTTTAGTAATTGTGACTGAGAGAAGTGAGTAACTGTAACTGGGGAGGGAATAAAAGTCATATAAGTCTCTTTTTTGGAAACATTTAAAAGTAGTCTTATTTTTGTCCATTAGTTTCCACTTAGTAATATTGATGACAAAACCCCAATTGAGAACAAGATTTTTAATACCAATTCCTAATCGGTTCAGTTTAGCCGATTGGTTCCGGTCAACAGTGGCATATCCTAAAAAGACACATAGAGTGGATCTAGGAGAGAGTTTGTTGGCTAAAGTCACATTAAAATTCGGAAAACAAACACAACTGAACACGCGCATAAAAGAGTTGGGAGAATGATGAAATAATTTTTCGAAGGGAGAAGCATCATTTAAAGTTGGAGTAGCAAGCCTATTGATAATATAGGTAGCGGTAAACACAACATCTACCCAAAATTTAGATGGCATTTTGCTTCAAAAAGTGTAGTACGAGTTAATTCAAGTAAATGTATATGTTTTCGCTCAGCTACTCCATTCTGTTCAGGAGTGTTGTGCAAGACTTGCGAAACAAAATATCATTTTTGGTAAAAATATGACGCATTCCATGATTATCAAATTCACGCTTCCATCACTTCGAATTTTTTCAATTCTAGAGTCAAGTAAATTTTCCACCATTAATTTAAAATGTTGAAAGTGTCTCACCACCTCACTTTTATGACACATGGGATAAACCCAAGTAAAATGAGAGAAATCATCAATAAATAAAACATAATATTTAAAGTCACTTTAAGAGAGAACAAGTGACTGCCAAACATCAGAACGAATTAAAAATAAAGGAGCAGTAGATTTATGCCACATTTGTTGAAAAAGTAATCATTGTGATTTTACTAAGCGACAAGAATACAATCATGAGAAAAATAGAAATACTAAGAATAGTTCCACACTTTTAGTAATTATCTAAAATACGACTGTCACAATGTCCCAAACGACGATGTCCGACCGGTCTGAGAGCAACATGAGAACTGAGAGCTACTGGTGAAGGATGAGTAAGAGAAATTAAAGAGGATAAACAACACCATTACTGAAGCTTGGAGGAGCACCTTCCCCGAAATTGTGTCCTTGACACAAATAGAATTTTTATCAAAAAACACAAAACAATTATTATCCGCACCTAAGTGTTTGATGGAGAGTAAATTATGTTTAAGATTAGTAACATGACAAACAGATTTTAAATGGAGAGATCAAGGCGTAGTAGATAAATGTAAATCACCAACAGTCATAACAGAGAGATTAGAGTCATTTGCAACTGTAATAGTTAGCGATCCAAAATAAATAGATCTATTTTCTAAAATACCTTCATTGGAAGTCATATGATCAGAAGCACCTGCGTCAGGATACTAAACAACTGGAGTGGATTCACCAGTAGAGACAACCTAGACAGGAGCCTGAGCTTGAACAAAACGAGACGAGCACGTAACAACTGAATGACCTGAAGAATGACATATTTGACAGACGACAGGTGGATGAACTAAACCAAACTATTCTCAAAAGATGGAGATCCTGCAGAAGCATAATTGGTACAAAAAGAAGAGAGGACATGAGTATAATACGATGACTCAACTGTAATACATAAAATTGTACCTGGTCCCCAATTATTCTGCTGGTGAGCTCCCCGACCGGAAGTTACCGGATGCGGTGATGCGGTCTGTGGCCAAAGTGAGGTGGAGGAGGGTCAAACGCCCGCTGTTGTGACTGGCACCTGCCGCGGCCACCCCCCCTGCCTCTGTGGTTGCGCCGTCTGCTACGACCCCATACCAAGATTACTCCCTTGCAAGCACGCTTAACTTGGAGTTCCTAGGTGATGAGCTCCCTTAAAAGGAGATGCACATTGTTGTTATGAGTAGTACTATTAATACGTTAAATTAAATCTCACGTATTACAATCACCCCCACTTAGGAACACAACATCCTCGTTGCTCCTATAAACCAATCTCAATGAAACCCCCGAATCATCCCCTGCTAAGTGCCCACCCGATATCCTACAGATCAACACACTGTCACAGGGTTGCTTTAATACCACCTGTAACACCCTCCCTCATAGGGCCTGAGGTAGTTACTCTTACACATCCGTGGACCTCTAGTACTGTCCTCACAAATCACCACAATCTTTTTCCGCTCACTTTGTCCTCATTCGTGCGCGCCCTAAGAAACTACCTAGGGGGTCACCCATCCCAAGACTACTCTCGTGCAAGTACGATTAACTTGGAGTTCTTAGGTGATGAGCTCCCTTAAAAGGAGATGCACCTTGTTGTTATGAGCAGTACTATTAATTCGTTAAATTAAATCTTAAGTATTACATCTGCGGCTGCTGCTGCCTGCTAGAGGAAAAAGCCGCAGGGACACCCCCTGCGATGAGGATGCAACAAACGACGAAGTATTGACTGATGTTTCCAAAGATTGTTGATAGCGCAGACGTGCCTCTTGATGGACCAATTTTGTGCACAGTGTGAGTCAAAAGTGAGACCTTCTAGAAATAAGGTAAGGGGCCCCACAAGTGACTCATATCCCACTCCCAACCCAAAAGTGTATGTTGAATAAGATCAGCATTGCAGCCATGAATCAGGAATCCAAACGTTTCCATATTGTCGTAGAATTTTTCAAGGTGTGAACCTCCATCAAAATTTCACGAGAAAGAGTAGCAAATAATCAAGCACGAACAGTTTGGTCCAATTTTAAACAATGATAATATTCATGATTAATAGATTGAACATGATATAAATCATAGGTATACAGAGGCAGAGCTGGAAGAGACCCATCAAGAATGTCCAAGAGACCGTTAGCCACCAAAAAGGACTCGAACTGAGTGCGCCAGATCAAACTTTACCACTTACATTTACCACTTTTATGGACATGAGCCGCTTGGACTAGCTCAAATTTATATGCCCTCTGGTCCTTAAAATTTGGTCAAGTTGATGGGTACAAAGATTAATAAAATAAAAACTGTGTGATTTAGATTTGTTTAGAGGAGAGATAATTAAATGAAATCACTAATGCTTTAATTAAAAAGAAAAGTGACAAAATTAGTGAAACAATAAAAATGACTACTTATAATAATATCATTAGGAAAAATGACTAAATTAGTGTAACAATGAAAAAGGAAAATGACAAAGTTAATGTAACATTAAAACAACAAAATTGAAGAAGTTTGAAGGGAGGAGAGTATACTGCAAAGTAAACACAAGAGTTGGGAGCTAAGCTCTGGACGGCTTCCGTTAGTAACACTCCGCTTATCCAATGAAACAAACAAACAAACTGCTAGAATTCGGCGTTTCAATACACCAACGCCAATAAGCGCTCATTTCATCCTGCCCCTCTGCTTCTTTCATCACCAGCAGCGACGGTGCGCCCCCCGGCAATGAAAAAGGTCAAGTCACAGGCCGCCTCTTGCTCTCTAGACACCAACAAGAACGGCCAGCATCGCCCCCACTTCTACCCTGATGCGGATGAAGACCCTTCTCCCGCTAACGCCGAGGATCTGAACAACGCCGTCGCTTCTACTCTTCGAGCGCCCGCTTCCAATTTGTCTCGCAAGAAGGCCACTCCCCCCCACCCCGCCAAGAAGCTAGTCATTAAGCTCGTCAAAGGTTCCATTTTTTAAACACACCATCTCCGGAATCCGTATTTTATTCTGGTTCCATTTGCACATTTATGAAAGTTTGATGTATGGGTTATTTGAGTAATCACTAGCCTGCTCTGTTATCACTCCTACTAGGGTTCTAAGAGATCTATTGCCCATTATGGAACTGAGTTAGGTTTAAGCTGTAAAGTCCATCAATATGCCTAGCATATCCCGCAATTCGTCTTGATTTCTGAGCAGTGTGATTCTTATCCAAAAGTGAGACGTATCATTATTCACTGGTGTAATTTTCATTCCTCACTGAGTAAAACCAACAATAGGAAGACAAAAATGTGGAATTTTAGCAGAATTGGGTGGTTTTGAATCCGTTTTTTTAATGCGCTGTAATTTATCATAGCCAATTAAGTCTATGCATTTTTTTTTATTATATCATCTCATCAAGGTCGTTCATTTCCATTGCTTCTCAACCTAGCATTCACTATAAATTGACATGACTTGATGAGTTGCCTATTTAAATTACAAAGGGGTGGCAGGGTGGCATCTAGAGAGCACAGCCATAAGAGACTTGTGATCCACTTCGGGCCTTTTCCCCCTATTCTATCTCTTCTCATTTCAAGTATACCCTGATAACCATAGTTTCCTGTTAGTTCCTTTTTAGCAAAAAAGAAACATCAAGCCGGATGGTTATATACTGGATAGTGGATGCTATATTAGTCTGCAATTTACTGTTTAACTCCAAATTAGACCTTTAAAACAAAATTTTATTTGGCATTGTTTCACACGACAGTTTGAACTCACAGAATCACACTTGATTGGTTTATCAGTGACATTAGATAGGTTCTGGTGTATTTAACCAGATTGGGCATATTTATTCCAGAGATATAAAAATATTTAGTTGATTATTATGAGATTCCTAGAATCAAGTGGGAGATTTGTATTAATTAGGAGATCTTGTACATAATTACTTTTTTCTTTATTAAGTTAGTCCAGGTCTACAAATTGTAATTGGTTGTTGTATTTTACTCATTCTATTCTTCAAGTTGGTATCAGAGCCTCCAGATTCTAGGGCTGGCTCTACTGCCAGAAAGTTGTCCTAGAGTTGAGTTCTTTCATCTTCAACACTGCCAGTAGTGTGGTATTTTTTTTTTTAACTATGCCTGACCTTGAAGAAAACGATTGTATCTCTTCCACCTTTGACCCACAATGATCTCCCGATATTGCAAGGGTCATACCGGTTAGATGGACCCAACTATCTTTAATGGGACCGACTTGTTCATACTTTGTACCACTCTTAGAGAAAGCAAGAGGATTAGTCACATCGAAAGCAAATTCCTGGTGAGACGTATCCACAATATGAAACATAGATTGATGAGGATTCTCTCACAATATACGGAGTATGTTTTTCACTACTGCGAGGGAGATTTGGAAGAATCCGGTAGAGACATATTCCATGAATGAAGATCTCTCAGTGTGTTATGAATTGGAAAATAAAGTCTTTAATACTAAGCAGGGAACTCTCTTTGTGACGGACTATTATGGCACTTTAAATGACATCTGGACCGAACTAGATCAATATCAAAGTTTGACAATGAAGTGTGATGAAGACTCTACTACACTAACCCAATTTATTGAAAAATATGGATATATAAGTTTCTCTTTGGGATTTACATTGAATTTGGTCCCATTCGGCTTTAAATTTTGGGTAATAAGAAACTACCATCTCTTTCGAAGGTCTTTCACACCGTTCATCGTGAAGAAAGTAGGACAATGATGATGGAAAGAATCAGTTGATGTTTCAACCTTAGCCACTGGAAAGGGTTCCATACAAAGATCCACTTTCAGAGGCCCTTTTTGAAGCGCATTCGTGAAGATCAATGGTACAGTCACGGTAAAAAATCTGGCCATACGAAGGATACATGTTTCAAACTGCATGGAAGGGATAAAGTCGGTCGTATGAGCGGGTCCAAAAGTATTGTTCGGAGGCATGCAAATCACACAACTTCTAACATGCAAATCACCAACAGAAGATGTCCCCAACCTTAGAAAAGCAGAACTTGAACGTCTAAGAGTGCTTATGGACTCCTTGAGTACGCCCTTTGGTAGTTTTTCTGTAACAATGATTGATAAGAATTCTACCTTGTTATCTCTTAATGCTTTGAGTACTAAGCGTAGTTGGATTGTTGACTCTGGTACCCTACAGATCACATGACACCTCACTTCTCACATTTATCTTCTTATTCCACTTTACCAAACAAACACCATATCACTGTTGCTGATGGATCCTAAACTCCCATTATTGGATGTGATAGCACCAACCTGAATTCATCACTTCACCTAAAGCATGTGCTTCATGTTCTAGGGCTCTCTAACAATCTTTTGTCTATCCACAAACTTACCAACGATTTAAACTGACATTAACTTTTATCAATTCCCACTGTGTTTTTCAGGATCTTGCCATGGGGAAGACGATTGGAATTGCGAAGGAATAGGACGGGTTATAATCTCTGTCACACCAAGAAAGAATTTTTCATTAGGCTAGTTTACAAACGTCTTGGGCATCCTCCCTTTATTGTTCTTCGGGCCATGTTTCTCCATTTATTTACAAAAGTGTGAGTCGAGTCTTTTCACTCTGATGTATGTCAACATTCTAAACATCACTGTTCAATGTTTCTTCCTAGTAATAATAAAAGGGTGTCCACCGTTTTGATTTGGTTCATTCTGATGTTGGACCTTCATCTGTTTCAAATATTTTTGGTGCAAAATGGCTTGTCACTTTTATGGATGACTGTTCTAGGATTACATGGATTTTTCTTATGAAAGATAAATAAGAGGTGTTTCAACTATTTGTTATTTTTTTTCCACATGGTTTAAAACAAAATGGTCTTGTTCATGAATTGACTTGTGTTGACATCCCACAACAAAATGGGGTTGCTGGACGAAAAAATCGCTACTTCTTGAAATCACCAGAGTGTTACTCTTTCAACTGAACGTTCCTAAGTTTTATGGGGGAGAAGTTGTGTTGACCGCTACTTATTTAATCAATAGGTTATTATCTAGGGTTTTATGCGGTGTTAGCCCTATGCAAGTTATAAATAGTTTCTTTCCATCGATGCCCAATATGTTAATTCTCCAATGTTGTGATTTTTGTTGTTCTGCATTTGTCCATGTTCATGGTCCTCATTGGAGTAAGTTAGACCCCAGAGCTGTTAAATGTATCTTTATAGGATATAGGATATAGGATGCACACCAAATAAAAAGGGGTACAAGTGCTATCATCCTTCTAGTTTTCGTGTCTATCTATCCATGAATGTCACTTTTCTGGAAACTGAATCTTGTTATCCTAGTCCTCATGTCCAGGGAAGTAGACAGGAAGTTGAGTTCCCCGAGTTTTCAATTCTTCCTTTAATATAGGAACCCTTGAATTCACTCCCTATTCCTGCCCTAAGGATACTGATGCTATTGGTAATGACTCTGGACAAATATCAGTGCACAATAATGATGATAGATATGGGATAAAGTACCAGCAGAAAGTTAAACTCGTCCTAGTCCACCAACAAGTCCAATCGTCTGAACTTGAGGTAATTGCTCTAAACCCGAGCTTAATAATTCTTGTTTAAGTGCTCCTAACTTCGAGCCTAATAATTATTGTGAGCTAAACCCTGATGAACTGCCTATTGCCTTGAGAAAGAAAAAACGATCTCAGTTTGTGTCTACTTGAATCTTGCTGTCCAACACCAGAGTTTTCTTTCGGCTATTGGCTGTATTAGAATCCCTGCATCAGTGCAAGAAGCTTTAAAAGATAAGGATCGGATTCAAGCCATGAATGAAGAGATGCAAGCACTAGAAAAAAATGAAACCTGGGAGATTTGTTGAAAAACCAAATGACAAAAAATAGTAGGCTGTATGTGCGTATACACGGTAAAATACCGATCTGATGGTTCACTTGACAGGTATAAGGCAAGGTAGTAGCAAAGGGTTTCACCTAGACCTATGGATTGATTATGAAGATACATTTGCTCCTGTAGCAAAAATGAATACAGTAAGGATCATTTTATCCTTAGCAGCTCACTTTAATTGGGAGTTACAGGCAGCAGTTCAATGTAAAAAACGCTTTCTTGCATGAAGATTTAGAAGAAGATGTATATATGGAGATTCTTCCAATGTATGCCCCTACTTAAAGGAGAAATATGGTTTGTAGATTGAGGAAGGCCCTATATGGGCTCAATAGCTCAAACAATCATCCTGGGCATGGTTTGGGTGGTTTACTCAGACCATGGCATCATTGGGGTATAAACAAAACCAATGCGATCATACCCTCTTTGTAAGTTACACTAAAAATTGAAGATTCACCCATATCTTAGACGATATGATTCAGGGAATGATGAACTTGAAAAACATAGTCTGCGAAAGGAGCTAGCAGCCTAGTTTGAAATGAAAGACCTTGGAATGCTCAAATATTTCCTAGGTATGGAAGTGACGTACTCAAAACAAGGCATTTTCATTTCCCAAAGAAAATACGTTCTCGATCTTTTCAAAGAAATTGGTAAGTTGGGTTGCAAAATCACCGGAGTACCCATTGAGCAAAATCACAGGATTAGTAGTGATGAGGAGAGCCCATAAGTAGAGAAGACTCAATTTGAGAGATTCGTGGGAAAACTTATTTACCTATCCTGTTACTGTTGTGAGGTAGTTCATGCATGACCCATGGGAAAGGCACTTGGAGGCAGTGAATAGAATCTTGCAATATTTGAAGGCAAGTCATGCAGAGAGCTACTATTCAAAAAAGAGGAGCACCTATCCAGGGAGATTTATACAGATGAAGACTATGCAGGGTCAATTGTTGACTGGAGGTCCACTACTGGATTTTGCATGCTCTTAGGTGGAAGTTTAGTGACATGGAGGAGCAAGAAACAGAATGTAGTAGCAAGATCGAGTGCAGAAGTAGAATTCAGACTTCAGAGCCTCGGCTTAAGGGGTTTGTGAATTGTTATTGATGAAGATTATTTTAGGAGATTTAAAAATAAAGCTCCTATGAGAGTTTTCTGTGGCAATAAATCTGCTATTAGTATAGCTCATAATCCAGTGCAGCATAATAATAGAATAAAACACCTAGAAATAGACCGACATTTCATCAAGGAAAAACTGGATAGTGGCCTTATTTCTGCACAATATGTTCCTTCGGGGATTCAGTTGACTGATGTGCTCACCGATGGGCTTCCCGTAGAGCGATTTCAAGAACTTACTTGTAAGCTAGGAATGATAGATATCCATTTACCAGCTTGAGGGGAGTGTAGAGATATTAAAATATTTAGTTGATTATTATAAGTTTTGTTCTGATCATAGTCTGATTTCCTAGAATCAAGTAGGAGATTTGTATTAATTAGGAGATCTTGTACATAATTACTCTTTCCGTTATTAAGTTAGTCTAGGCCTATAAATTGTAATTAGTTGTTGTATTCTTCAAGTTTTATAATGATGTAACTTGTAATAAATGCTTAACTTTCATTTAATTTTTCCCTCTTAAGCAAAACCAACTCTGCCCACAAACTTTGAAGAAAACACCTGGGCAACACTAAAGTTTGCTATTAACGCAATATTCTTGAAACAGCCTGATCCATGTGACTTGGAAAAACTCTATCAGGTATATATGTGTCATATCATGTCACTTACTCTTGATACTATAGCTACTGGCCATCTTTGATCAGAGTTCTTCTCGATAGGCTGTCAATGACCTTTGTCTGCACAAGATGGGAGGAAGTCTATATCAACGGATTGAAAAAGAATGTGAAACACACGTAGCTGTGGCATTACATTCTTTGGTTGGCCAAAGTGAAGATCTGGCAGTTTTTCTATCACTTGTTGAGAAATGCTGGCAGAACTTCTGTGACCAAATGCTGACTATTCGTGGCATAGCATTGTATCTTGACAGAACATATGTGAAACAAACCCCTAATGTGTGTTCCTTGTGGGACATGGGGTTGCAGCTCTTCCGTAAACATCTTTGTCTTGCTTCTGAAGTTGAACACAAAACTGTCTTTGGCCTTCTACAGATGATTGAAAGTGAGAGGTAATTTCTTTTGCTTTAATGGTAACACTGGTATGTTGATTCTGGGACTTTGTAATTCCTATGGTACTATCAAATGTATGAACTAATAAAGTTCAACTCTTTTGTCTCCCCCAAGGATGATGCTAAGACTCTAAGAGAATAATAGCATATTATGTATTTTTTTTTTTTTTGGGGGGGGGGGGGGGGGGGTTACATAGGAAAGAAGTTCCATTTAAAGGTATATGTAATTATGTATACCTAGGGATCATTGAAGACTGGTCAGAATTTCATAAATAATTCGTCACAGGGGCAGTCCTATTCCATCTGTTCTTTTATTATTTGTCTATTTGGCTTTCTTCTCTCAGATTAGGTGAAGCAGTTGATAGAACTCTTCTTAACCATCTACTGAAGATGTTTACCGCATTAGGAATATACCCTGAGACCTTTGAGAAACCATTCCTTGAACATACTTCTGAATTTTATGCTGCTGAAGGTGTGAAGTACATGCAACAGGCAGACATTCCAGATTACCTGAAGCACACAGAGGTGTAGTTTAGTTGTACTGTTCCTTTCTCTTCTTTGAGTTCTCCTCTGAATATGATATACCTTCTTGATTGCTTTTGCCTCAGTACAATAGTTGTAGGAGTTTGATTTTTAAATATACTGGGTACTTTTTTTGTCATGTAGTTGAGATTGCATGAAGAGCAGGAAAGATGTTTGCTCTACCTGGACGCAAGTACAAGAAAGCTACTGATAGCAACTGCAGAAAGGCAATTACTTGAGCGCCATATCTCTGCCATTCTTGATAAGGTATGTATTTCTTGAATTAACAATTAAAATCATTATGTGCTCACTCATTCACTTGTTCGAGATGCCTATTTGTGACCATAGTCATTTGATATCTTGTCAGGGTTTCAAGACACTAATGGATGGAAATCGCACTGAGGATATCAGAAGGATGTACATACTTTTCTCAAGGGTTAATGCCCTTGAATCTATAAGGCAAACACTTAACTTATACATCCGAAGAACTGGACAGGGCATTGTCATGGATGAAGAAAAAGACAAAGACATGGTCTCCAGCCTATTAGAATTTAAGGCATCGCTAGATAAAATATGGGAGGAAAGCCTTGGCAAAAATGAAGCCTTTAGTAATACCATTAAGGATGCATTTGAGCATCTCATAAACCACCGTCAGGTAAGTTTTCCATATTGAATTTTCTCATACAAGTCCTTTACCCATACCTTGCCAGCTTAATCGAGAACAATTTAGATTGTATGAAAATATAGTGACTATTAGAACATTAAATGCACTATGGTATTAGACTATTAGTCTGCTTTTGTGGTATTCCTGGCGCTGTCTGACTGAGATCTGTATACTTTTCTCTGTTGACTTAATAAAGAGGGTAGACTGTGGCTATTATTCAAGCTATGTTTGGTTGATTCTGACAGTGCCGTGCTTTAACTCTTAAATTTCTGAGTTTGGGGTTGGATGACATAGAAAGCACAAAGACTATAAGAAACAACAAGATGAAGACTATCAGATGTGTTGGATATTTGAATCCACATGACCAGAGTAATTGCTGACCTTACAATATACTTCAACCAAATATGTTTAGAGTAATAAACTTGGACATGAATTGAAGTGGGGTAATCAACTTCATTAGTTCTGTGAAAACGAGGCTGACCTTGTTCCTTACACTGGAGAAAAATATGATATAAACTGCAAAAATGCTCAAGGGTAATGTGGTAATCTAAACATTTTTATTGATCAATAAAAAATAAATTTTAGCACAAACACTTTGATGGTATAATGAATCTTGTTATGGAAGAGTAAGTTGCGTAATATGTTATTAAGCACTTAATATGTTGAAAATCAATGTGAAGCTCAAACTATTCTTTACCTATTTTTCAGAATCGGCCTGCAGAGCTGATTGCTAAGTTTTTGGATGAAAAACTTCGTGCTGGGAATAAGGGTACATCGGAGGAGGAGTTGGAGGGAACACTTGACAGAGTCTTGGTTTTATTCCGTTTTATACAGGTATAAGAAAATACTGGAAAGATTAAAAGATTATCATATTCTTTTTGTTGAAATTGTAGTTGGTGTTGGGATGTAGACATGTAGTTCATCAACATTAAGTTGACATGTACTATTTATTTGTCTTTTAGGGTAAGGATGTCTTTGAAGCATTTTACAAGAAAGATCTCGCGAAAAGGATATTGTTGGGAAAAAGTGCTTCCATAGATGCAGAGAAGTCCATGATTTCTAAGGTTTTGTTTTCAATTATTCATCTCCAGTACTTATTTTTTGCATTTCTGCCATACCAACATTGTTCAAATTACTGACAGTTGAAGACGGAGTGTGGTAGCCAGTTTACCAATAAACTTGAAGGGATGTTTAAGGTATGTGTAGGAATATGCTCATTGTACCCTTCAATATGGGCCGTAAGTGATTTGTTTTGTTAACCCAATGGACAAAAATATGAAGTAATTGATCATATATCTCTCCTAACTGTTACCACTTACCCCTTACCATAGTGTTCACTGTTCAGTTATGGAGGCTGTAATAAACATGTGGCTGAAGGTGAATTACGAAGGCTGGAGTATATTTGAAATTTTGAATGGCACTGTTTTTTAACTAGGCAAATTATCATCTGATACAGAATTTTGGTGGAGGGGATTGGGGTATTCTGAGTTTTGCTTATGGTTTAATATAGCAATTGATTGTCTAGGACATTGAACTATCAAAAGAGATAAATGAGTCTTTCAAGCAATCATCCCAAGCCAGGGCAAAACTCCCCAAGGGAATTGAGATGAGTGTCCATGTACTAACCACTGGGTAAGCTGTTGATGCTTCTAGATATCTTAGTTATCCAGGTGACAAACTGTATTTTCTTTTCCCCTTTTCAGGTCATTGGTTCTTATCTCTTACCAATCTATCTGGATTGAAGATAATATATGCTAGTTATGCTGCAGGTACTGGCCTACATATCCGCCTATGGATGTTCGACTTCCCCATGAACTCAATGTGTATCAGGTTTGGCAAAAACTCATCTAGCTACAGGTTCTGATCAAGAAGTCCAATACCTTAATATATTTTTTTTGTGGGTTAGGATATTTTCAAGGAGTTCTACCTAAGCAAATACAGTGGCAGGCGTTTAATGTGGCAAAATTCGTTGGGTCATTGTGTCCTGAAAGCGGATTTTCCAAAAGGTAAAAAGGAACTGGCTGTTTCTTTCTTTCAGGTTCGTTTCCCCTGTAATCGTTTGTACCGTTTTGGAGTTCGTTGGATTTTCTGTTTCACATTGTACTTGCATAAACATACTTTACACTGCTTGGTGGTCTTCTTTTTGTTCTTTTCTCCAGACTGTTGTTCTGATGCTCTTCAACGATGCGGAAAACCTCAGCTTCCAAGATATCAAAGAAGCAAGTGGTATTGAGGATAAAGAATTAAGGAGGACTTTACAATCCCTAGCATGTGGGAAAGTGCGGGTCCTCCAGAAGGTAAAGTGGTTATTGCTGGGTGGAGAATTTTGTTTTCCATTTCTGTATTTCTTTGAAGAAGGTTGGGAACAACGTTTTTGTTCCCTCTAGATTCTCCCTGGTGCGAGAACTAACTGAACCATCCTTTTCAGATGCCGAAAGGAAGAGATGTGGAGGATGATGATACCTTTGTATTCAATAGTCAGTTCACTGCTCCACTTTATCGTATTAAGGTATAGATCATTTCATCATTTTCATTTACCCCAGTGATGCAAAGGCTCTCACCTACGGTGGGGTAAGGGGGGGTCAGATGTACGCAGTCTTACCCCTGTACTAAAGCACAGAGAGATATTGAAGTTCAATTTTAATTCAAAAAGTGTTTTATCTGATGTCTATTTAATAGAAGTTTAATTTCATGGGGTCCCCTCTGGCTAATATTCCGTATATTCCATATATTGCTTATCCAAAACCCTAACTGCATTGAATGTGAATTGCAATGATTTTATCCCCTAATCAGTTTGGATGTGAGAATGAAATTTATTAAAACCCAAACTCATCTTCAGAGTACACCTGTTCAAGACCTAATTTGTTTTGAATAATTTGGACATGATAACCATTAACCTGTAGATCATAATTCATGAATCATAAAATCCTAGAAACAAAGCTACTATGTACGTAGTAATGATTATTATATATATATATATATATATATATATATATATATATATATATATATATATATATATATATATATATATATATATATATATATATATATATATATAGTTCCACGGAGTTTGCCCCACCGAATTAGGTGGTCTGCTCACCGGGTTTAAAAAAACTATTATATAGTACTTGTATATAAAAACTTATGTTCAAAATTCAAAAGTCACACATGATAATAATTGTTTAATAACATAATGTAAAGACTAAAATAAAAAATTTAATGACCAAATAAATGCAAGTTCAAAGAAATATTGCTAAACATTTAAACATAATAATATGTCACCTTCAAAATTAGTAACTGGACAGGAGGTCTAAAGTATGCTCTCTGAAGTATAAGATATGCTCAGAAATATATGAATATGAATATGAACAACTAATACGGGAGGAGGTAATTGTGAGATATATGTGTGTGTGTGTGGAGACATACTACTTGCAGACAGATGCTCGTTAAGTAATTAAAGATGTGAACTGCTGCAGAGAAACTTTTATACTTCGTAAGATTCAAACATTGCTCTTTAGAGTTCTGTTCACATCTCTGGAGTTCCCGTCTTTGGAGCCTAATTTGATGCTTCTTAAGGTTTTCCTAAAAATTTCCATCGTTTGCTACACACAAGACCTGACTCGACCCAGCCGGTATGGCGTTTTTACATTCTAGCGCTTAGATCCTCTGATCTGGCCATATTTTCCGATCATAACTTCGATCCACAGCACCCAAGCAAACCCTACTCGTAAGATCAGGACCATCCTATCAGTTGACTCGCGATCTTAGCGACTCTGAATCTGGCAATTAGCATGTACTACCTCCGTCCCACTATGTTTGGGACAATTTGGTTTACGATGCTTGACCGACAATAAAGCAAACAGATCCCTGTCCGCACTCAAATTATTTTTAGGAAAAAATTTTACATATTCATAAACTACGATAAAAACTTTACTAAGTCGCAAAAACCAGAATCAAATTTGATAAAAATTTGATGTATAAAGTAAGAGATTAAGAGTGATTTGTGTTGACCAAGTGAATAGTGTCTGGGACAATCTTAGCGGGACGGAGGGAGTATTACTTTGGTTTTTCTTTTAAGTTGAATACACAATTCTGTTATTGCCAACAGTTGAAACATGCATGAGATGTTCATGTTGGGTAAATAAAAAGCTGGCAATATGCTGGGGTATCTGCAGGTTAATGCCATCCAGATGAAAGAAACTGTTGAGGAAAACTTGAGCACCACAGAAAGAGTATTCCAAGACCGCCAGTATCAGGTTTTCCTTCTTACTCAGCTATTGTAAATTTGTTGTAATCTGTAAATATTATACTAGTTACTGCTCCCCCAAATCCACAAATCCTCAAACTGACTAACAAACACTTGGTTTTCATTTTGAGATCTTAGAGTTGTAATGCAATATTCTTTTTCAATTATGCCTGCAGGTCGATGCTGCAATTGTTAGGATAATGAAAACCAGGAAAGTCCTCAGTCACACTCTTTTAATAACTGAGCTCTTTCAGCAGGTGAGAGCATTGTTTCACTTTTCTTCATCATAGTGTTGGCTAACCCCATTTTATGATTAGTAATTGTGGTGACAAATAGATGAGATAATTACTCAACCATCACCACATCACACGAATGATTGATTATGGCTGCTTACAGTGTCCTAAAAAGCACTAGGCGGGTGTGGTATAGTGAAAACTGAAAACTAGTGCTAAGCTGGGACTGGGGTGGTAGGAGGATTGAGCAAGGGATAGCAGGCGGTGATTGTCAGAACATAGCTGCTATCGTGCTTAGCATCTATGTTGTGGCTTATCAACGCTACAGTTAAAGCCACTTCTATCATACTGATCGTTATTTTGTACTTTTGGCGACAGCTTAAGTTCCCAATAAAGCCAGCAGACTTGAAGAAGAGGATCGAAAGCCTGATAGACAGAGAGTACTTGGAGAGGGATAAAAGCAATCCTCAGATATACAATTACCTTGCCTAGACTAGGCCTTTTCTCATGTGATTTTATTTTCAAATTTTCGATTCGAACTTCAATAGTTCTATGGCAGGCAGGCGGGCAGGTGTTCTACCCACCCAAGATGATGTGTACAGATACATGCTCCGTCTTTTATATGTATTAACCCAACTACTGTGTAAATCATACTTGAGATGACTGTACCAACTCATATCTGTAATTATTATGACAATCATGCCTGGAAATGCCTTGTGGATTGGAATTACCACTCTTTGGTAATATGTATGATTTGTGAGCAAGACACTTGGCTAATTCTGAGTCTTCTGACACTAAAAATGCAAATGACCGAACTAGAGAAGTATCCTTTTTGGTTTACGAATATGGGTAAAATCCATATCAATAATCCCCACTTCATACATTTCTACAACAATAATCCCTACATAGGATATTAATAAAAATAATCCGAACAGGTTAATCACTTCATATAAATAGATGAAACTAAACGGAGTCAAACTTTCCGTTGATACAAATCACAAACCCACCACCTCTCTGTGTTCTCGTCCATAGCTTAGCTAGAGCACTTTCTCCCCTTTTTATCACTAAATATTTAAATCTCTAATCCTTACTGATCCATCAATTTTGAGAAGAAGTCAAAACACCACATGTCCAAGTATTGAATTATTTTCAGAAAACTCTTTAAAGATCACATGTTCAAGTACTCGATGATTTCTAGAAAACTCGATCTTTCTTGAGAGCTAATTTTAGTGTCAATACCTGGACAGCTAGACCCTCTATTCGATGATCAAACAAGATGAGTGACCAAGTAAGATTAAACGTGATGACAATAGTAACACTAATAAATAATAAATTAATAATACAAGTTTGTCTGTTCATAATACAATGTTGTTTGGTTGTTCGGTGAGGTTGAAAGAGACAACGAGAGGTAGAAGAATAAGATAAGGGAGAGATGAGGCTGCAGCCTAAGAAAAGAGAAACTGGTGAGCTGCGGAAGAAGTAAGTTGGGATTCGTGCTAAATGGGCAGCAAGGTAATATAAAACGGAAGTGTTACCTCCATCTCATTTAATGTATTTACGTGAATGACTTAATCAGTTTGGATTATTTTTATCAATATTTGTAGTACGGATTAATATTGTAGAATCAGATAAAGTATGGATTATTAGTATGAATTTCTCCAATATGAAATGTAGTGGTCAGCTAGCCAGCCAGCTAACGCTCTTTCAGTATAGTAATCAAATACGGAGTGTTGACGTTAATGCCCTCAGTCCAAACGTCCAACACACTACCTTTGGTGGGTAGGGGTGGACTCGGGCCGGGCGGCCCAAACCGGAACCGGCCCGGCCCGGTCACTGTTTGAACCGGCCCGGCCCGAACCGGACCCGGGGTTACCCGGGCCGGTTCCGGGCCTCCCCTACCTTGAACCGAGGCCCGGCCGGTTCAAGGCCCGAACCGGGCCCGGCCCGAACCGAGTCCACCACTATTGGTGGGTGATCAATTTTAATGTACGGAATGAGTAGAACTCTACTTAAGAACAGCTCTTGTTCGATGTGTTTAGAGATCTAAGACTAATGTCATTGTAACTTTAGTTTAAAAATTGGATACAAATTATTATGATTTTGTTACTACTCTAGTCACTAATCACATTTTTGTAAACAATCTTTATTTTAGTCATACTTAACCCGCACACACTGCCGCCGTAAGTCGGCTGGCTCGGGTCGGGTTCGAGTCTCACCGGACATCTTTGTATGGCTAAAGACTGGAGATTATTTTGCTACATTTTTATTCTTTTTCGGATAAAACCAAATAGAAGACACAACTATTCGTTTTAAAAGAAAGGTCATGAACTTTCTTTTAATAGGTGTCTTTTGGGTTTGAGACTCCTGGCCAGAGTTCTATAAATACCCGCCTTGTCTTCAATTTTGGGACATCCGAAAATCAACACTCAATCCTCCATATTCTCTCATCTTTCGTGCATCTTTGAGTTCGCCGGAATCCCTTTGAGAGCAAAGAACCGTTCTATCCTGGGAGACGCTTGCTACGTGTGTCGGGCAAAAACGTCTTAAGGAAACAACGTTTACGTTGGGCTCGGTTACAAGTAATCTTACGTTTTTCCTTAATTATATTTATTGATTATTTATAATTTATTATCTCATTTACATGCAGAATATTAGTACACGGATAACAATCTTAAGACATTTTTGTTTTAATAGTATATTCTGCATGGTTATTTGTGTCGGCTGCATTCACATATTTATACATTTTTGCTTTAATTCCCATGTCTCGGTTACATATTAAACTTGTTAGCTAATATGGTTATTATCTTTTGTTTTTTTATTTATTTGATTTCCTTTTATGTTGATGTACTTTGTGGTGTACGTGTGCTAGAAAGTGGGGAGGTTTTTTCATCCACTTAATCTAACCAACTTCCCCTTTCATTTTGCTATAAAATGAATGACTTGGGCGTAGGTGAAGATTAAGACGGTTTTTCCTTCTCATTGGAGCATTCTACACATTATGAATGAATATATGAATACATTTGATCTTCTCTTTTATGCTTGTAATGTTTCTGTACCTGCAAGATTACGTATGCATGCATGAATCAAAGTCAGTAGTACATCAGTCTCGTACTATGGTATTTGCATAATTGCATGGCAATTGGCTAATTGCTATTAGAGTTAAAATTTTACTACTTTTGTCTCACGTTTTACAACGTAGTCCATTTTGTTTAATACGTAGTATAATTTAATCCGTTTGTCATAAAAAAACTATGTTTATCGGTTCCTTTCTTTTTTTAAATCAACGTGTCTATTGGTATATGTCTCATGTCGTTTGATATCGGATTATCGGTAACAACCGTGCACACAGGGGCGGAGTCAGAAAAATGGTTGATAAATGATAGTTTAAATGAAACTAATAGAGTATATGTAGTTAATATACTTCGTTTATGTCACATATATTATAAACTTGTTTTATACGGGTTGAGTTGAGTACCTCGGATGAGACCCATTGTCTTACCCTAGTACTCTATGGTTCTTTTCGATATTACTCGGTTTAGTATCAAAATTTCTTACTAGAAAAGAATCATTTATTGAGGAGGCACTCGTAGCAGTAAGATATGTTGTCTTTGCTCTGTCCCTAAGTCATGTCACGTAAGTAACGAGTGCATTACACGCTATTTTGTGAATATAATTAATATTACGCATCACAATTTTACTAATTTCAAACTTAAATAGTGCTGATTTTGCAGAAGTCATAACTTTTTACTCGTAATGAGTTATGAGAGCCATAATATATCAATCGAAGATATCTCAGAGCTCTACGCTCTTAAATTTTCAGCGGTGTCGGCTGACCACCCTGACCCCAGTAGCTCCGCCCCTGCGTGCACATGAATGCTTATTTAAGTCTGAATCATTGTTTACCTAATTGCTTATATGATATTCCGTATTATAAACAAATACCTGCTTTGATTCAGTGATACCATAATATCCCCTACTGTCATTTGTCTACTGCAATCTTATTCCATTGTCCACTTACTATTCTCTGATTCGTTTACTATATTCCCATGCGTTGTTTCTGTGAAATAATGGGAAAGGGGTACTCCAATAGGAGTCCTGACAGATATATTTATAATAGAAGAATTGCCAAAATACAAAGTATTCCTAAATAGATATTATGCAGATTCCTAAATATCTATTAGGTAGATTCCTAATTATATTAGCCTATTACACCCCCTCAAACTGTGCGGGAGATACAACGCGCAGGTTGTCTTTTAAAAAATGAAATTGCAAACTAAAAAAACTCTTAGTAAATATATCCGTGAGCGGAAGATTAGAAGGCACATCTTTGATAATATGATCTCCATGAGAATATATGTCTGCAACAGCAAGCGGCGAACTCAACAGCGCGCTTGAAGCAAGCACCGTGGTCAGCGACGCAGAGAAGGTGGGCTGCGCGGACATAGGCAGCAGCAGGCGGCGAACTCAATGGCATGCTGGAAGCAAGCACCGTGTTCAGCGACGCGAAGGAGGTTATCTGCGCCATATTAGCCGCGCTCATCTTCAAAGGATTGGAGACTACCGTAAATGTGGCGGCAGTCGACCCCGAGGTGGCGGCGGCTATAATAAGGTTCATGGGAACCGAAAAAAAAGAAAAAAAATTATTGTCTATTAGATAGATTCCTAATTATATTAGTCTATTAGCTTCTCTTGCATATTATTGTCTGCCATATTCTATTCTGTAAGTGCTTCTGTTTCTTTTTAATACTTCAAAACTCGGTGCTTCTGCCATATTTGCATACTTTATATATAATTATATTCGGTGCTTAATTTTGTTTTAATACTTTGTAATAATTCGGAGTATTTAGTAATACCACATTATCTATTCTGTTAGTGCTTCTGTTTTTTGTTAATATTTTTTGAATAATAAATTCGTATATACTTTTGTGTATATATTTTGTTTGCGTAAAATCACAAATCGTCTGTTTTGTGTAAACAGAATGGGAGACGAAAGTAGCATCACTCTTCCAAAACTATCTCCGCTCAATGCTGTCCCGTTCAGTTCTTCTTATGGGGAGAAACCTAGCAAGTTCAACGGTCTCGATTTTAAACGTTGGCAACAAAAAATGTTGTTTTATTTAACAACGTTGAATTTGGCTAAGTATCTCTCCGAAAGCCAACCTCTTTTAGACGAAGGTGAAACTGATAAGGAAAAAGTAGCCGCGGTGGATGCTTGGAAGTATTTGGATTTCTTGTGTAGAAATTATGTCCTAAACGGACTTGATGACTCCTTATACACTGTGTATGCCGATATAAAGACGGCTAAAGAATTGTGGGAATCACTTGAGAAAAAATACAAGACTGAGGATGCCGGCAACTAGAAATTTATTGTCGGACATTTCTTAGACTTTAAAATGGTTGATCACAAATCGGTTGTTTCTCAACTAGAAGAATTCCAACTTATTCTTCATGAAATTCACGCTGAGGGTATGTCCCTTAGCGAGTCCTTCCAAGTGGCTGTGGTGGTTGAAAAATTACCTCCCAAATGGAAAGACTTCAAGAAGTACTTGAAGCATAAGCGCAAGGAGATGTCCCTAGAGGAGCTCATTGTCCGTTTAAGGATAGAGGAGGATAACTGCAAATCCGAGCATAAGGCTGGACGATCTAATTCCATGGAAGCTAAAGCAAACATGGTGGAAGCAGGATCCAAGAAAGGGAAAAAGAGAAAGCACAGTGACGAAGGAACAAGTGGAGGGAAGCCTTCGTCAAAGAAGTTCAAAGGAAAGT